CCCCACTCAGTAACTCCCTTATAACCTCCAGGATCAAATATAAAATCCTCTAGTATTCAAAGCTTTTCACATGTATACATGTACACACACACACACACACACACACACACACACACACACACACACACACACACACACAGAGTATATTCCAAATAAGAATTACTATCCAGGAGTGAAGGCTCAGTTGGTATTAGATAATAAATTTATAGTGAACCCAGTTGGCATAATTGTGTTACTTCCTCCAGTGGCATTTACACATCATATAAGTGAGAACAAGGAAAGTATATGGTGGGATGGAGGGTGTAGGACTTGGTAAGGCATGAGATGTGACAAATGGTCAAGATATTGCAGGGTAGAGGACAATGTATAAATGAACTGGCTCACTACTGGATTAAACTGCAGAGGGAGGAAAATGAGGCCAGAGTAGGGGTAGTATCCTGGGATAGCAGAGAGGGGTGGAGAGACTGCAGGTTGTGGTGAGGTCTAAGAATACATTTAGAAGAAAGGCTAAAGGAGTGATAGAAAGTTAGGTGGTTGTGATCCAAGAGAGGAATTTCAAAGTTATGGATAGTGCGAAGTGCAGCAATAATGAGTTATGGGTGAGATCAAGGGTATTGCTATCCTTGGTAGGGGATGAGGGAAGGGAGAAGTATTTGTTTTTTGTTTTTTTCTTTTTTTTTCTTTTTTTTTCTTAATTTATTTTTAGTTTTCAACAATCACTTCCATAAGCTATTTTTCTTCCATAAGCTTTTGAGTTTTAAATTTTCTCCTCCCTCCCCATCTTCCTCCCCAAGATGGCGTGCAATCTGATATAGGCTCTACATATACATTCCTATTAAACATATTTTCACAGTAGTCATGTTGTAAAGAAGAATTAGAACCAATAGGAGGAACTCCAAGAAAGAAGAGACAAAATAGAAGGAAAAAAGAGCAAATAGTATGCTTCGATCTGCATTCAAACTCCATAGTTCTTGGGAGAAGTATTTCTTTTTTTTTTTTTTTTTTTTGGTGAGGCAATTGGGGTTAAGTGACTTGCCCAGAGTCACACAGCTAGTGAGTGTTATGTGTCTGAGGCTGGATTTGAACTCAGGTCCTCCTGACTCCAGGGCCAGTGCTCTATCCATTGAGCCACCTAGCTCCCCCAAGAAGTATTTATTAAACATGTATTATGTGTCAGGCACTGTGCTAGTACTTTAGAATATCTCATTTGATTTTCACAATAACCCTGGGAGGCAGGGGCTGTTATTATCCTCATTTTACAGTTTGAGGAAACTGAGGCAGACAGAGGTTAGGTGACTTGCCTAGGGTCATATGGCTAGTAAGTATCTAAGATCACATTTGAACTCAGGTCTTCCTGACTCCAGCTTTCTATCTACTGCACCACCTAGCTGTGTGGTTGAGTTGGAAGAAAGGTACAGGTTATGAGAGTTGAAATTGATGAACTGAGAAGCCAGGGGGCATTTACTTGTATGTTGAAGTCCCTGAGTACAAGTGTAGGGAATAGGGTATATGGGAATACTGTGACCCAGGTGCTAACATCATTGAGAAAGAATGACCTAGGATGCATAGAAGACTGCAACAAGGATCCTGAGAGCGTGATATAGATAGTATGGAGTGAATCTCAAAGGTGGGAATGTTAAGTGATAATGGCTCAGTGGGTCAGGGGGATCAAGTGTCCCTAGTATTGGAGAGAGTGGTAGGTATCTGTGAGTGCAAGAAGAAGGAAAGGATATAAGAAGAAGAGGTAAAAGATGAAGGCAGTTTTGTTAACACCAGGATGAGAGTTCAGAGGGCATGATGGAAGGGACTGGGCAGAGCTTGATAGAGAATCAAGAGAGATGGTGCTCAAGTGGATGGAAATGAGAGAGTAGAGACTGGTAACACTTGAAGGGTTTTTTTCATTTGTTTGTTTTTGCCTAGGCAGCTAGTGATGCTGAAAGGGGAAAGTAGGAATTTGCTAATCATTAGATAGGGAAATACCATTGGGCTAGGGCTTCTGCTTGCAAGTGCATGAAGACAGAGGGCAATATCGGTTTTTGGGTTTTTTTTCCTCAAGCACCAGGGAATACAGGATATCGAATTGGGTTTCTGGGTCTGGTCTCTGCATATCTGGTGATTGGCTGTTCAGGAGCATGACCGAATTTATTTTCACTGCCAGTTCCTTTGCCTCATTCTAAAGTGGCAGGGGACATTGCATATTGCATCCCTGCACAGGAAATATGTGAATGACTTCTGGTCAGACTTGCTGTCTGAGCCATAGACAAAGTCCTGATTTCAAGCTCAGTGTCTGACTCTGATCCCTGGTAGAATCCTGGTGGCAGGAGGTTTGTTCAGGTTCTTAATGGTTATTGGGGGTTGTAGGGAGGGTGGGATAAAGGCATTATTGCTTTTTTTTCTGGGCATATATTGGTAAGGAAGGTCTGCAGGGTTGTGGGGTTTTTTTTGTTTTTGTTTTTGTTTTTGGCAAGGCAATTGGGGTTAAGTGACTTGTCCCGGGTCACACAGCTAGTGAGTATCATGTGTCTGAGGCCGGATTTGAACTCAAGTCCTCTTGACTCCAGGGCTGGTGCTCTATCCACTGTGCCACCTAACTGCCCCCTCTTTTTTTGTTGTTTTTTTTATTTTGTTTGCTGGGTTGTATTGATATAGGACAGGGCAGACACAGCCTCCACAATGAGGTGGTTTCCAAATCCAGTCCCTGAGAGGCATAGGAGTTCTAGCCTTACTCTCCCAGAATCACTGATAGGGAAAGGAAGAGTTGGTGTTAGAACAAAAGTTTTGGTGTTAATGAAGGGGTCCCCCCACCCCGATCCTGAATGGAGGGCTGTAGTTTTGCCATGATGACACATATTTGAGTAGGGGCAATCTCCCAAGTGGGGCATTGGTCAAGGACAAGAAGGCCCCCAAACCAAGCTTGGGGGTGGGGAGGGGTCCAATGATAGAGTCCAAGGAGGAGTAGAGGTTGGGGCAGAAGTTTTCCTATTAGTGGAAGCCTCCATTTGGTTGGGTTTGGTAGTAAAAACCTGTAGTATTGTTGTAATGACTCAAGGTAGATTAGATTGCCAGGGATGAGAAGAGGCCCCCAAATTCAGCTCCTGAGTGGGACTTTTACCTTGGTTAAGCCATAGCATCTCCACTCTGGCAGTGGAGGCTTTTATCATTGTTGCAGTGACTCAGGATGAAGTAACAGGTTCCAGTGTAATAGATTCCCCTAGAGGAGGGGCTTCCAAACCCCGTCCTTGATCTGGGATAGTTCATCCTATCTCATTGGTCAAGGGACAGCAGCTCCCAACCCCCCAACTTCTCACTTCTGCTGACACAAACTGCTCTTGGTTCCTTTTCTTTTTAGTAGATTTATCCAAATGTTCTAGCCTTTTAATGTCTTTTTGGAGCTAGGCTCAGTCATTCATTGTGTTTACTATTCCCCCACCAGCAGCTTGGTGTTATCTGTAAATCTGATAAAGTATGCTTTTACCCAAGTCACCAATTAAAAAATATTGAGTAGAGTAGTATCAAGAACAGATCCCTGGGGCACTCCACTTAAGACTCCTCCAAACTTCCGAAGTTGGCATCAGGACATTAATTAATACTCTCTGGGTCTAATAACTCAGCTAGTTATCAGTCTGCCTAAGTGTACATCTCTCAATCTTGTCCATGAGGAGTGCAAATGACTTCCTCAAAAGCTTTGCTGAAATCCAGGTGCATGTCTTTAGCATTCTCCTGATCCACTAACCCTAATAAATGGAAATGAAGTTAGTCTGACTTGACTAGTTATTTGAGCAGTTTTGGGCTGTAGTTCTCCACCCATTTTACTTTAGCTAACTTTCCCCTCCCCTCACCAAGGGAAATTTAAAGATATCCAAAACAGTTACAGTATTCCAACATCATCTCAGATCAGAATTCAACCTAACACAAGTCACTGGCCAAGTTTTCTTTTTTTAATCCCTTTCTTTGCATGTGGATTTCTTAGCCCAGAATAAGTAAAATCTAATAACAGATTGGCATGGCTGGTGCAGTATACTTCTGATTCCCAGGCTCAGTTCCTCTTTCTCACTTCATTCCATTCTTGTGCAAGAGAGAGGGTGGATGTTCAAACAAGATCCTCAGAATCCAAACTCAGGGCAGATTTGGGTTGGCAGTGCTGCCAGATCTGAAAAGTGGAGAGTCTCTCCTAAAATATGTTTCCTTGTATTATAAGATTGTTTTGAGAAAAGTACTTTTTAAACCTTCAGTTGCTGTTTTTATCTCTATTCTCTCTGATATGAGTGATTTCATATATGAATTATATATGATCATAAACACATGTATATATGTGCACATATTTCTATGTACATACGTGTACATGTGTATGTATCTTTACACATTGTGTAAAGATGGGGACCCCCAGCCCCTACCTCCATTCCTCGCTTATGACACATTTCCACACTGCAGCTGCCCCAAGCTTTGCAAGTTCATCCAGGATTGGGGGGGATGGAGCCAGGGGAGGAAGGGAACAAGCATTTATCAAGTGTTTATGTACTGGGCACTGTGCTGAGTGCTTTACAAATATTGTCTCATTTGAAGGCACTTTCCTATATGGCCTTAAACATTCCCACTCTAAGCTTTAGGGTGTCTCATGATGATCTTGTACCTGCCTTGCTCCCTTCTCTTTTGAAGGTTTCTATGGTGCCAGGCCCCTGAAAATTATATATTCTTAACTCATCTCTGACTCATTTCATTCCTTAACCAAGATATTTAAGAAACATTTATGTAGTGCCTACTGTGTTGAGTGCACTATGCTAGGCCCTTAGGAGAGCTATGGAGTTAAAAATAAAACGTGGTCCTTGCTCTCATTGAGGTTACAATTTAATAGGACAATAAAAGACAAACATACCAAATATTATTTCTGATAAATTAGAACAAGACTGGCTCCGGCCCAGTCTGGCAGTTCTAGCTACATATAGAGGGTGGTGCATAGTCCTCTGGCTATCCTGACTAAGTCCCTTTGCTTTGCTTTACAGATAGCAGTGGTCCCTCCAGCACTGTATCTAGTGCTGGTCCCTCTTCCCCTACTTCAGTAGATGGTGGCTCCCATTTTGGCTTCAGTGACCGTCCAAACCTGAGTTCTCAAGTGAGTGAGGAACATCAAAGTCATGGGCAGCCTCAGGAGATCCCTGAGGATGGGGGCAAGGAGACCACAGAGATGGGAAAAGGGCCCTCTAAAATCATCCAGCCATCTCAGGAAATGCCTGCAGAGAGTGGCCAGCTGTTACAGGAAGCCCTACCTGAAGGGGTAGACCAGGCATCCCAAGTGGTTCTCATGAAAGTTGAACAGGTGACTCAGGGAGCCTCTGAGGTCAATCAGCTGTCTCCAGAGGGCCCTATCGAAGTTGATCAGCCCTCTCAAGAGATTACTGTGAATGTTGATCCACTTTCAAAGGAAGCCCCTAAAGTTGGCTTCATGTCCCAGAAGATTCCTGAGGAGGTTGAGCAGCCAAGCCAGGTGGCTGGCGAGGAGGCTGACCAGCTAAGCCAGGAGGCTGGCGAGGAGGCTGACCAGCCAAGCCAGGCGGCTGGTGAGGAGGTTGACCAACCAAGCCAAGAGGCTAGTGAGGAGGTTGACCAGCCAAGCCAAGAAGCTGATAAGGAGGTTGACCAGTACACTCAGCAGGCTGATGAGGAGGTTGACCAGTCAACCCAAGAGGGTAGTAAGGAAGTTGATCAGCTGCCACAGGAGGCTTCTGAAAAAACTGACTTACTGTCTCAAGACAGTCTTGGAGAGGTTGACCAGCTGACCCAGGAGGGTACTAAGGTCAATCAGCTATTTGGAAAGAATGTTCTTCAAGACCAGCACCCGTCTAGTGACCCAGATCCTTTAGACCAATCCCTGACCTTCAACCAGCAGTCTCCCTTCCCACCAGCACCACATGACTAAGCACTCTTCCATTAGTGGTCACATTGCACCAGTCATTTGAACCAGCAGCAGTTTTGCTGGCCACCTCACCTACTAGTGACAGGCCTTGGCTCCAACCAGAGGGCTCTGAGGAAGCAACCTCTCTCCTCATTAAGAGGTATATTATTAGGGCAAGAGCTGGGCTGGGGTGGAGCCAACTCTGCTAAGGGTCCCTTGGTTCTGGTTGCCTAATTAGTGTCCTCAGCTCCTTAGAATAGGCCAGAGGGTTCCAGGTAACTGAGAGTTGAATGAAATGTCCTTTTGTTGCTAAAGACAATTAAGGACCAGCAAGGATAAGAGAAGGGATCCAAGATGAGGGCTCTGCATTCTGGCTAATGCCCTAGGAAAGGGTGAAAAACCTCCCAAGGTCCCTTGGGCCCCATGGGCATTCAAGAGGTCTACCCAGTGTTCTCTGGGCAGGTTTAGGATGGCCAATCAAATTGGGAGAGGGAAAGAGGATCCCATTCCCCAATTAACCATCCTGGGTGGCCACTGATACTGAAATTGGGCTATAGATGTTCCCATATTATCCCCAAGTGCCCCCCTCCTATCCACCTGAACAACAGCTCTGGCATAGGATGGGTATCAAACTGCTGTAAAGATTTAAGAGTAACCACTTAAAGCTGCTTTAGGGGTATCTTGCCTTCAGGGGACCCTTGGCCAACTGCTGAGGGGTATCTTGGCTTAGTGTGGGGAGAGAGTCTATAGTGGAGAGAATCAGGTTTTATTTTAAGCAATTAGAAGAGATCACTATTGTATAGACAGGAGCAAAGATTTAATATATATATATGTGTGTGTATGTGTGTGTGTGTCTATATATATATGCATATATATATGTATATATATATGTATATGTATATATATGTATTTCTGTAGTGAGGCCAGGGCTGGGCCCACTAGGGACCAAGCACTCCAGGGTCCCTGTGAGGTTTGTCCTTGCTTCTCCATGTCCGTAGGGCCAGGTGTGATTGTGAAGCTTTTCCCAAAGATGGTGGGGGGAGGGAAGGGTGGGAAGGGAGATACAGTCATTTGGGTTGGGTGAGGGCAGGAACATTGTGAGTGCTCAATAAATATGAAATAATGACTTTAGTGGTGTGCTGGTCTAAGTGTGAGCATGATACCAGGCATAGCTGGGTGAGTGGTAACTGGTATAAGATTCAGTATTGTTGATAACTAATGCATTTGGATAGGAATGCAGTAAAAAGCAAATGGAGGCCAACTATTCTAGGAGATCTCTGTGGACCAGCTCACCTGGGGAAGCTTTGAGAAGTTTGACCAGTGGAGTGGGGGTCAGGGAAGGAGGGTATAGCTATCTGAGTTACTAGAAGCCTGGGTTTCTCACACATTTTTTTTTTTAATAAGGCAGTTGGGGTTAAGTGACTTGCCCAAGGTCACACAGCTAGTACGTGTCAAGTGTTTGGTCTGAGGCTGGATTTGAACTCAGGTCTTCCTGACTTCAGGGCCGGTGCTCTATCCATTGCGCCACCTAGCTGCCCCATCTTACAGTTTCTTACTAGATTTGTGGAGTCACCCTCCTCTGGATCACCATCCCTGAACTTGGCTGTGAATCTTCAAGGAACATTTTGGGGAGAGGCTATGCCGTTTTTTGCCTCCTCTTTCAATCCAAGTGTAGATACTATTCCCAAGATAGTGAGAGTCCCTATAGTTTCAGCTTCTCTCTCCCCACCCCTTGCAACCTGACCACTTATAGCAGGCCCATACAATCACAGCTTCACTGGGACCCTACCCAGCTCCCCACTTTCCCGTAGTCTGCTCTATAGGTGTGAATTTTCATGGTGGTATCTGAACCCTAGGAGATTCTGGATCTTGTAGACAGTGGGGGACCCTACAATTAGTCTATAATCCTAATTGGTTATTAACTATCAGTCCCTGCTTCCCTTGGACTCTAAATCCCTTTCTCAGGAATCCTCCCTAAATTGTTACTGTTTCTTCCTACTCATAAACTCTTGTTTTCTGTGCTTAAGCTTTTCTACCTGTTTTCAGAAACCAGCACAGTGTCCCTGTGGGGCACAAGGACATCCCATCCCTCCCTTAATACATTAAGGTCTTTTGGAGGCTTCTGGCCACCCTCCTTTGAAGCTGTGGTGAATCATACGAGATCTAAGACCCCTTGGGAGAAGGGGCAGCAGTGGGAGGAGCAGAGAGGGAGAAACTGGGGTCCATGGGCCAAGCAATGTGTGAAATCAACAAGAGCCTGGCCACCCAGGTGGTAACTGCCACAAAGTTGGTTTATTGTTAATGTTCGAGGTGGCTCCTTTACAACAGTGGGAAGATGAGTGTGTGGGGGGCCAGGGGAAGGAAGGTTGGGCAGGGATGAAGAACAGAGCAGCAAGGGAAGGAACAAGGAAAGTAACTGCTTTTGGTTTCTTCCCTTCAGGATAGGAGCTGAGCCCATTCAACCAGCTGTGTCAGGGTCTGGGCCTCACAATCTGGCAGCAGACTGGCAGGGCAACACATGGACTTTCTGGGGGGGGGGGTCCCTTTCTCTCAGGTGCCATGTTCAGCCATTTTGATCCTGCAGGGATGAGCTGCAGTTTAGTTCCACCTCCTCCCCTGCACTCCCCCCCTCCCCCATCCCACTCTTCCTCTGCTATGGCTTCCACCTCCCAGCTCTAATTTCTGGGAACTCTGGGCTAGGGAGGAAATAGGTATCCCGATCTTAGCGACAGGATGGCAGTAGGGTATTGGGAATGTTGGGGGTATTGCACAATGTTGGGGTGTCAAATGTTAGGGTTCAAGCAGTGGCGTATTTTCACCCATTACACACCAGGCCAGCATAGATGGCCACATGCATAGAAGCCAAGCAGGAAAGGTTTGGGCAGTAGCATGGGAGGGAATATGCCATGGAGTCCGGGGGCTTGGATAAGCTCTGGGATTGGGCTGGTCTGGTTCCTCCCTCATCCCCTCTGCTGCCCAACTGGCCTGGCCTGGGCATTAAGCCCTTGGCATATGAATGAGATTAGAGGCAAGATCCCTGCCTTTGCTGCCTACCAATGAGGGGCAGAGGCTGATAGGGGAAAGTAGAACCTCCCCTCTTCCCCAGTTTGGCCCATTGGTCAAAAGAGCTTCAAGTTTTGGATTGAGACATTCAGATGTAAAGGAATCCTGGGGGCAGGGTAGCAGCAAGACACCCCCAACTCCTGCCACAATTGGAGGGTGGGAGACAGGGTTGTAGCTCTGGGCATTTAATGGACTCCTCATTTAATTATCATGTCCCCAGGTCATATAATAAATTATAATTGGAAATCCTGGGATGCAAAATAAATACTTTTGGGATAGGGAGGCCCCCCAGGAGTGGGGAGTGGTCTTCCTCCATGCTAGAAGACAGAGCTCTCCATGAGAACCCTGGGTCCTGTACTTATTCCCACCCCTATACTCCAGCCTTTGACAGTACTGGAAGAAAGTGAGTTATTCCGAGGTTGCCAGGCAGCAAGTGACCTTCCCCTGTCCCCATTTTGTGCCTACCCCACCTCCCTGCTCCCTTTGGTTCTGGGGAAATCCTTTGGTTCTGAGACCTCTCTCAGGCCTGTGGATAAAGGGAAAGGAGACATTGTGTATGGGGGGGTGGGGTGGGGAGGAAGGAATGATGCCTCCCACTCAACACAGCCCCCAGAACCCAAGCATCTTGCCCCATTCAGCCTCCATAGCCCCCCACTCCCAAAGGACTCAGCCTCAGCCATTCTCTGGGAAAGCTGGGGAAAGGGGTATGAAAGGGAGGGGAAAGTGGTCCCTTCAGAACTCGATCTTGCAGGCCGGGAAGGACTCATCCTGCATGACCACCGTGCTGCTGCTGGCCAGGACAAGGACATTCAGCTGTTGCTGCTGCTCATGTGTCTGCTGATACCATTCACGGGTCACTTCTGTGTCATGGGTAGGGATCAAAGTTACCTGAATGGGGATAAGGTTGGGAGAAGAAACGTGCCAAGGAGAAGTAAGAACAGGATAGCATAATTTCTAAGAATGGATATAGGTGAAAGGATGGGGAAAGTTAGTAAGTCTTACTGATCTTTGTAGCCTCCCAAATCCAGTGGGTTTTCCCCCACAAAAGTCCACAGAAAGATTCAGATTATGTTCTATCTCTGCTTCGGACAGAGTTGGGCACAACTAGGGTTTGCCCCTCTTTGCCAGCTCCTGCTTCTACTCACCTGCAGATTCTCTCCCCACTGTGCTTTGCCCTCCAGCAGTGCATCCAAGACGGCCCTGCTTGGCTCTCCATTGGCGGGGTCATTCCCACTGACCACATAGTAAGCTGCCCGCACACGGCGGAAGAAGTCAAGGTCAGCGGTTTTGCCACTGCAGTGATTAGGGATGTAAGCAAGGTCCACATACACTGGAGGGCCAGAGCCACCCTTCTGGCCCATGGCAGCTATAGATAAAGAAATGTCAGAATCCTTGGTTATAATAAAGGGGAGCAAAAACAGGACCCACCTCTTGCTGCTTCCCACCAACTCTCCACTTTTGCTCTACCACCACCTTCTTTCAGGCACCAACCTTCCATATCCTATCCTAAATCAAACTCTCTTCCTTTTGTTTTTGCTACTTACTTGAACCAGTCTTGAGCCCATTGACCAGTCCTTTGGTCAGAATGTTGTGTCCGTCCTTTTCTTCAGGTGGTACCTGGCCTGCGGTGGCACGGGGCCGAGGTGGGACTCGGGAGGTGCGTTCGACGGGGCCCTTCCCAGGAGTGGGAGAGCGTTTGCCCCGAAGATCCAGTCGCCTGGCAGGGGAGGCTGGCTTGGCCCTGCCTAGGGCCCTTCGCCCACTCCGCCCCTTTTCCTTCTCCTTTTCCCGAAGCCGGTCAGCCCGCCCCGCTTCTGTACTTAGACCCTCTGGGTCAGCCATGCACACGTCAGGGCGTGGAGGGGGTGGGTGGGGGTCAGGTTGGGGAGCTGGGGGTGGGTCATGGACAGGCCGGGGATGGTGTGCCCCACTGACTCCCCCTGCTTTGTCCACGGGTAGGAAGTCACCATCTTCGTCTGAGTCCAGTGCTGCCTCAGCTGTGATGGAGGGACACTCCTCAGTCTCTGGGGGGACATCTGAGTCTGACTGTGAGGAGCCCGAGTCACTAGCAGAAGTGGGAGGTGTCTCATCAGCCACAGGGCCTGGTCCCCCAACGCCTCCTGGCCCCCCCACCCTGCGCCGTCCCCCTCGCCCAACTAACCGTGCCTCTTCAGTGGAAAGATCGCTATCATCAATGGACCTGGGCAGGGAAGGGTTGAGAAAAGATGGGGACAACTCTCCACAGCAGGGCCACGACTCAGCAGCACATCCTTGAGGCCCAGATTCTGGCTCAGGGGAGGCACTGCTGGGCTGGCTCCTTGCAGATCCTCCTGGACACAAGGGCCGCTCTGGAGATAACAGGGTGGCTGGCCGGGTGCACTTCTCTGCTCCTTCAGGCCAGCCTCCACATTCCCAGTCTGGGCGAAGCTCAGCTTTCTCTTCAACTTCTTTGGCTGTGGGGAGCCCTGGGGGACTGGGGCTGGCCTCAGTAGGGCCATTAGCTGCACAGTCCCTGGATGGGCTTGAGCAGGATCCCAGGACCTTGGCGGCTGCTCCCGAGCACTCCAGGCGGCAGGGCAGGGTACCATCATCCATGTCCCCAGGTGTGCCGGGGGCAGGGGCAGGGCTCAGTGTGGCTGGAGGGGCTGGGCTCAGTGTGGTTAGGTCCCAGAGGCTTCTGCCTTCTGGTTCTGCTCCTGCTTCCATCTCCCCAGCTGCCAAGCTCAGAGGGAAGCTCTCAGCCACACTGGTGATGACGGGAGTGGTGGCCTCAGATGAGGAGCCCTCCGAAAGAGCAGGTGAGGCAGGCCGGGGCAAACTGGACAGGAGAGGAGCCCCGGGAGAGGTGGGGGATGGAAGCTGGGGTAGTGAGGAGTCTAGGCTAGGAGCCTTGGTCACCTCCAGGTACTCATCATGCCGTGCCCTTGTTGGGGGTCCTGGGGTGAGAGCTAGCGCACGATCCCCAGAGAAGGCAAGGGAGCCACAGGGTGCAGATCGAGGCTCAGCCGGGGAGGGCAGCTGCGGGGCGGACGGCTGCAATGAGGAGAAACCAAAGGCTGAGGCAGGAAAGTCCAGGCTAGGCCGAGCTGGGGCGGGGGGTGAGCCAGAGGAAGCACTAGCAGGCACTTCAGAGCCAGCCTTGGGAATAGAAGGTTCAGCAGGGGTGGGGGATGGGGGACTTAAGGGCCGGGCTTCCTTCTCTGGTGGCTCCCGGGCCCCCTTCTCCAGCTCAGAGTCGCTGGCCTGTTCATCCCAACATTCTGCCTGCCCTCCACCTGACTCTTTTGGGGATAGGGTTACCCCTTCTGGTCCGCAGCTCAGGATGTTTCCGTCAGGAAGGGGACTAAGGGCTTTGCTTGGAGCAGCAGCACAGGGAGGCACAGCTGGGGGGATGGGACCCTGCTCTTGCTCGATTTCCTGCCTCAGTGCACCCTGTCCAGGAAACGCTGCGTAGTGGAAGGCTATGTCTGTACTTCGGTCCTTAGGAGAGGCTGGAGATGACAGCTCTTTTTCTGCAGGGGTGTGCCGGCCAGCTGCCTCTTCCTTGGCTGAGATTCGCGGGGGCCAGTCCCCCACTGCACCCAGTGGGGGCTCCCTGGTTGGACAAGCGGAACTGAAGCCAGAGAGAAGCACCTGCTCATAGATATCCGCATACTGAAAGCTCCTCTCCTCGGGGTAGGGTGTGGGCTCCCTCTGCTCCGGCTCTGTCTGTTCAGGCTCCTTGGCTTTGGAGCGCTCGGGAACCTCTGAGCTTTGAGGGCCTCGGTCGGAAGTCTCATCCTCCTTTCCACTCTCTCCCTCTCCTTCAGCCTTTCGGTAGTCTTTTCCTAGGGGTGAATACGGCCCTCCTTCCAACTCAGCTGCTCCCTCCTGCACTGCAGCCACCACGCTATCATACTCAGCCATACCCCAGGAGAAAGGGGCAGGAGGGAGTGGCTCTGGGGCAGGTGTGGGGGGTACTGGAGCAGGGGACTGAGGTGCTGGGGGGAGCGGCCTGTCCTTGGGGACCCATGGCGGGATCTCAGCCAGCCACGAAGGTGTAGTAGGCTCTTTCTGTGTAGTGGGTTTGGGTTTGGGCTCTGGGCTGGGGGTCTCTTGGCCGAGGACTGAAGGAGCAGCAGCATGATCCAGAACTGAGCAAGCCATCTGCCCAGCCAGCTCAGGTGGGGAAGCTGGAGGGGAAATGATCTCAAAGGGGGAACGAGTTACCCTCTCCTTCTTTGGTGGAAGTCCAGTAGGGGACTCTGAGAGCCAATGCTCCATCTCCAGTTCACCCTGTGGTGACGGCTCCTGGAAACTCTTATAGTCTGGGATCCAGGGGCTCCTGGGTGCGTGATCCAGGGGGAGCACCTCTTGGTCATCATCCGGTCCCTCATCGAGGAAGGTGCTCTCCCGTTCTTCGCTGTACCGGGGTCGGGCCCCTGGGCCTGGGGCCCTGTCCAGTTCATGTGGGAACCAGACCTTTCTCTCACAACTCAACTCCCTCCAGTATGTTTCCTCTTCTGCTGCCCTGTCCTCTGGTTCTTGCCAGTACCTGTCTTGCTCAGGGGCCCTGTCTTCCCACCTTGGAGCAGTCTCTCTTTGTTCCCCAGCAGCAGCCTCCCTGGTTGGGGCCGGGCCCTGCCATTCTCTGCTCACGTCTTCCCGTTCCCTCCAGCATTTCTCCTCCTGCTCTTGGGACTTGTATTCCCAGATGGAGGCCGTGGTCTTCTCTAGGGTTTTGTCCTCTGAGGTCTTTTCTTTCTGCTCCAGGGCCTTGTCTTTTTCTGCTAGGATCCTATTTTCTTCCTGTGTTTTTACCTGCTCTGGGGCCTCGTCTGGTGATTTATCCTGCTGCGTTGGGGCTTTGTCCTCGAGGACCTCGCCTTTTTCTTTTGTGGTTGCGTCCTCCCTCATTGGGATCTTTTGCTCTAAGTCCCTGTCCCCTTCCACAGCTGTGTCCTCCCCTTCTTGGAGTCTGTCCTTCTCTTTCAGGGCCTCTGCTTGGGCCTTGTCCTTTTCCTGGGCCTCATACTCCTCCAGTTCCCGGTTCTTCTCCAGGGCCTTGTTCTCTTCTAGGGATTTGCCCTTCTCCAGGTCCCTGCTCTTTTCTACCAGGGTCCTATCCTTTTCCTCCAATAACTTGCCCTTCTCTTCAAAGGTCTCGTACTGCTCCAGAGCCTCATCCTTTGGTTCTGGGGAACTTGTCTTCTGCTCCAGGGCCTTAATGTCCTGCCCTGGGGCCTCACCCTCCCACCCTGGGGCTGTGTCTTTCACAGCTGGGCTCTGAGGGGGCTTAGGGCCTTTAGTGAGAGAGCTGTCCAAGATCAGATCATCCTGCTCAGGGCCTGGGGTCAATCCAGGAGAAAGCTTCAAGTCTCTCAATACCTCAGTGGGAGAGGAGTGACTGGCAGATGCCTCTCTGATGGGGCTGTTTTCGGTGACATGGGTCTGAACAGTGTGTGTTGGGGATGTTTCCGTGACAGGAAGCCCCATGGCTGGATGGTCAGATGCAGGGGCCAGGTGATGAGTGGCATGCTCAGCCAGGGCTTGAGGCACTCTCTCCTCCTTTTCTTGGGTCAAATCCCCAAACTGGAGAGTACCTAGACTGTCTGGTGACAGTTGCTTGGAGGAGATATCTAGAGAAGTCTCCTTGCTAGGACTCTCTTCAGAGAGAGAAAGTGACCTGGTATCCTCAGGGGAGACTTCTGGCCAATGGTCCTTGGGTAGGTCATGTGCTGCTAAGCCCTGAGGAGACTGTGAAGCAGGTTCTTTGCTGGCAGAGATTGCCTTGGGTATTGAGACAGACTCAGCATCTTCTGGTGAGGGAATTCTGCTAGAAACCTGTGGTGGTTCAGCCCTTTGGATCCTGTCTGCCTCTTGGAGTGAAGCCTCTAGGCCTTTAGGAAGGGTCTCTGCACTAGGAATCAGGGCTGGGCTCTCTGGAGCCTTCACAGTCTCTAAGACAGCAGCTTTGTCCTGTTCTGGAATCTCTGGGATTCCTCTCACAGTTGTTTCTTGGGTTTGAGGGCTCGTGAGTATTGGCGTATGCTCCTTCTCCTTTTCTGGTTCTCTTTCCACAGTTTCTGATCTGGGCTTTTCCTTAGAACTGTCTTCCTTGCCAACTCCCGGTGTACGTCCAGCCTCTCCCCAGGAAACTGCTTCATCAAAGTCCTGAGGCTCAGACTTATCCTCCACTGGGGACTGGTGGAATGGTGTGTGGGCAGCACTGGGTGGGCCTGAGGGGGGTGGTGATGCCATCTTGACCGTACTGTCATCAGGACTGAAGCAGCGTTCCTCTGGCTCCCCAAGGATGGGTTCCCCTGAGTGGAGAGTGGATCCAGGAGTGTCAAAGAGTGGTGATCCGTAGTGATCCTGCAGTTTTTCTGATAGCTCCACATTAGGTGTCTCATCTCCCTCCTCCTCTTCTGCAGCTCCCTCTCCAGGCAGGCCTCTTCCTGGGACTTCTCCCTTCTTCTCAGTCTCACTGGGCACTGGGAAATCCTCATAGGGTGGAGACTTGAAGCCTTTGTCTTCCTCCAGGGAGGAGGTGGGAGAGATAGTACCAGCAGATGGTACATAGTCTAGGCCCTGAGTAGCTTCAGTGCGAGATGAAGGGATACTAGTGACTGTGTCCAGCAGCAAGGAACTCTTGCCTGTCTCTTCGGTCTGGGGAGCTGTGAGTGAGGCTACTGACTGGTCTTCAGCCACTGATGTGGCAAAGGAAGATAGCTTGTCACACTCGGTGATAGAGGTGGCTGAGGACACATGTTCCTCTTCAGCCAAGGGGGCAGCCACCATGTTGGGAGGGTAAGTGAGGAGTTCTGTTTCTGGGGGCCCATAGCCCTTGGCAGGGGTGGAAGGTACAGTACTATCAATGGGCTGGCTAGTCTCAAAGGAGCTGGGAGCATCAGGCCCGGAGAGGTCATAGGTACCTGGAGGAAACCTGGGTGGGGCGGGGCGCTCCTCAGGCTCGTCATGAATCTCCTCGTCTGAGATGGTCTGCTCTGTTTCTGAGTAGCCAGGGATGGTTTCATCCTGTATATATGAGACATGCTCTGTGGCTCCTGCAGGAGTAGCTAGGCTGCTGAGGAACGATGATGTCTCCTTCTCAGGGGCCTTACCCTGTGGTCCCAGGTCCCGACCCCCAAGAGCCTCCTTGCCCTGTGAGGTGACCTTCAATGATTCCTGCATCTGGTGCTTTTGGTAGAAACCCTCAGCCTTCGTCTCCTCCTCCTGTTCTTCCTCCTCTCCCTCTGACGGATGTACTTCTTCCATCTCTTCCAGCTCAGCTTTTTCAATCACATCCTCCTTTGCCTCTGGTTCACTCTCTTCTCTGGCCTCTTTTCCCTCTAGAAACCTCTCAGCTTCCCTTTGCTGCCCACCCTGGACCTCCCCAGCATCTTCACCCTCCTCTTCTTTGGCCTCAGAACCAGGGCTCCCGACCTTGTAGGCGGGAACTTCGGGGGTTTCTGGGGCAACAACCTCTTTCTCTCCCTTCAGAGCCTCGTCCTGATCCAGGCCTGGGCCAGGAGGCACAATATCCAGATCGGCTGTGCTGGGAAGTCCTTCTTCCCTAGTTTCAGGAGGCTGCGGTCTCACTTCCAGGTCGCTGTCCTTTTGCTCTAGCAAAACTCTCTCTTCACGCTTCATCTCCTCAAAGTCCCGGGTGAGGTCTTCTGGTGAGGATAAGACCAGCTCTCTTGGCGCAGTGACTACCGGCGGTGGTGCCACCTCCTTCTGGGCTGGAGGTGTCCGGGGTTCAAGGGAGACCTCCTTCTCACGGACTACCCGACTCTTTTCTGTCTTGGCCCTGCCTGGGACCTTAGCTTTGTACAGTGTCTTTCTTACCTCAGGAGTAAAGGGTTTCAGGTCTGGCTTAGAAAATTTCTTGGGTTCTGGCTTAGTATCTTTCTTCTTATCCTCCTTCTTAGCATCCTTTTTCTCTTCCCTCTTCCCCTCCTCCTTCTTGATCTCCTTCCTCTCCTTCTTGATCTCTTTCTTCTCCTTGTCCTTTTTCTCTTCCAGTTTTGACACCTTCTCCTTCAGGTGCTTCTTCCCAGTCTTATCTTTGATCAGCTTCCTCTTCTCAGCCTTCATCGCTTCACTGGACTCAGTTCGGACCCTCTCAGTCTTGGCCGCCTTCTCTGGCGGTTTCTCTGGGGGCTCCTTTGCCCGCTTTTCGCTCTTGGCTAGCTCCTTGGCCAGCTCTGACCGGGCCTCCTTTGCCCCTTCTTCAGGCACCTCTTCCCGTTTGGCCAGCTTACCCACAGCCGGCTTGGCAGATGCTTTGAGGCTCTCTCTGCTGTCGGCCCTCTGTTTGATCTTACTGGGTTTCAGGTTAGCCGGTAGAGACCCAGAGGCCAGGTCTTTCTGTGTGGCCACAGGATAGCGGAGGAAGTCCAAGTGACGAAGCTTCTCCAGCCCCTCTAGGATCTTGTTCTGGGGGGCATTCCCAGGGAAAAGCACCCGTACGATCTTCTCTGTGGGACTGGCTGGTAGCCAGACCACCAGGGCAGTGATAGAAGTGAGGTAGGGCACTGAAATCTCACCCTCTTTCCCATTGGCCAGCACGATACCAGTCTTGGCCTTGCTGTTGCCTGCCCACTTTTGCATGAGGAACTGCATCTCCTTGCTGTCCTTGACAGGATTGAGGACGTACATATCCAGCCGGCCCACACCCATTTTGTGGAAGAGAGTCAGTGGCTCGATGGTGTTGCTAACCACCCGGTACAGCGGCTCTGCTTGGATGCCCAGACGGTTCAGGTGCTGTAGGGTCAGGCAGGCCTCCTCGATGCTCCGCTTGGCTTTTCGGGCAGCATCGGGCAGGCGCAGCTTGTCGGGGACGTTAAAGAAGACCACCCCAAGCTCCGGGGAGATGAGATTCTTGACCCAGTCGCTGTAGCTGCTGGAGCCTTGGGACTGTTCCTCCTCCTGCTCTGCCACCTTGCGCTGCAGCAGCCCGTTGATGCCAGGCAGGTTATCCGCACCGATGTGAGTGAGCAGGACTGAGTCGATGCGATCAAGGTGCCTCACCAGCTTCCAGAAGCAGGATTTGCGGTCGGAGCCACCATCCACTAGGATGTTGAAACCATTGACAGCAAAGAGAGCAGAGTCCCCACGACCGCCAGGGAAGATGTAGCAACAAGGCTTGGAAAGCTTGAGGAAGCCTCCAGAAGTAGGGGGCTCCAGAAGGTCAAAGGGAGATGGCACATCCACAGTCTCAGAGACATATTCTGCAAACTCAGCCACACCATCCATGGTGGGCAACGTGGGTTCTGGGTTTAGCCGAAGGTGCAAGGTTTCCTGGGAGCTATATTGGCCCAGGCGGCTCCAATCACCCTCGCCCAGGCACGACACAGTGAGGGAGGCTTGAACACTGGGGTCTCTGTTGCTGAGCAGTTGTGCAACCTAAAGGAACAGGATAAAAACCCAGTCAAGGTCATTGGAGCTGACCTACCTTTCACCTGGTGTTGAGTTCCACCTCTGACCAGGGTCACCACCCCTATTCTTCCCAAGGCTGAGGGCTCTAACATAAGAACCTTTCAATGTCTTCCATGGCCCTCCTTCCTTCTCAGTCCCCAGTCCCCAGTCCCCAGTCCCCTAGTGATTGCCTGCTTTTAGGTTCCCTTCTCCAAAACTCCAAAATGAAGCTCACCTCTGGATTGTGAAGGACCTGGGCAAAATTCTGGTAGGAGTAGGTGCCACTCTGTAGGATGAGGTCCCCACCAGGCTCTGAACTCTGTCCACTCAAGATCAACAGCTTGTGAGCTGATGCACTGCTAAGGAGGGAGTAAACCTAGAAAGAGGTAAGAAATAGACAAAAAGACAACTGTACTTTTCATCTTATTCAGTCCTGTAGGGTGATGCCCTAGTTCCCTTTATGTATATATACTTTGGATTGAGTCTGGTATTGGTACGGTACCTCTGGAAGGGGGACCCAGAGACGGTGGGAAAGGGAGAATTGGGGGTCAAGTGTGGTGACTCTTAGCCATGTGGTAGGAAGCAGGGGGAGAAGGTATCTTAGTGTTAAGAAGGAAAAGCACTGGGCCACTGCCTCACCTCAGAGCTGATGCTCCCTGCATTGGGGTTTACCAAGATGACTGTCTCGAGGGTCTCACTTTGATGACAAAGGGTCCGTTGGCCTGTGATAGAGAGAGAGGCATTTTTGAAATGGAGGAGGGACAGAATAAGGTGGGACTGTAGGAATGATTAAATGAAAAGATAAATACTTGACTTGATGAAAGCATGATGGAGGTTGGGATGGCAAGGCGGGAAGGAATGGGATACTAGGGAACATGAGAATTTGGGGAGGAAAAACGGCTGGCTAGATCAAGAGTACAGTAGGCTGAGCCTCCGTAGCTGGCCCTTCCTCTCCTAGAAGCAGCAAGGTGGTGTAGTGGTTAGAGCACTGGGCCTGGAGTTAGGAGGACCTGAGTTAAAATCCGGCCTCAGACATTTACCAAATACTGACTCAGTTTCTTTAACTGTAAATTACAGATAATAATAGGATTTATCTCCCAGGGTTGTTGTGAGGATTAAATGAGATAATATATTTGCAAAGGGCTCAATATTTGACACACATTTTTAAAAAATCTAACATTTGCATAGTGCTCACTATGTGCCAGGCACTGTACTAAGGGTTCTACAATTATTTTATCACTTGATCTTCGAAACAACCCTGGGTGGTTGGTGCTATTATCATCCCCATTTTACAGATGAAGAAACTGAGAGAGCTGTTCAACACAGTGCTTGGCACATAGTAGGTATTATATAAATGCTAGCTATTACTATTTTTAAAAAATCATTCCTACCCTTTTCAGGGACTGCTACCCTGCCTCTCCTCGAAACTGGTTATCTGCTTTCTCCTCTAGTTACCCAGGAATACTCCCAGTCCTCCCCCTCTACCCTCCCACCCCAGTGCTTTGTCTACTGGGACTCCTGCCTCTGACTGCCTGGTTGACAAGGAGCCTTTGTCCAACTCGAGCCCTGTGCTCCTGGTGCTGCCTGGGGGTAGGGGGCCCAGCTGGGAGGTCCCCCAAGACCATGATCCTCACTCGGCTTCCCTCCCATATCCTCCCATGGACTTTCATACCTTCAATGGGGCTAGGAATGGGTAGATGGTCTCTTCTGAGCAGCGTCCAGGGCTTTCCCTACCTCTCCCCATCCCTACTCCACTTCCAGTATTCTTTTTAGAAAGGCTCAGAGAAGTCCATAGTATATAATAGATCCCTAAGTTTGACAGTTCATAAATAGAAAGATGGCTGTACTCTCTTACTCTGTTCTGTGGGCATACTGGACACCCCAAATCCCAACACATATCAAGCACCAGGCAGAATCTCAGCGCTTTCCTGAACCATATCACTTTCTGAAACCCCTAAGAGTCCCAGTTTAATAAAACCTCCCTGAGAATCCTGGCAGGGAGTGGTCTGAGAAGGCATTGTAGTAAATAGAAAAATTCTCTGGACTAGGAATTAGGAAACCTGAGTTTAAGTGCTGGTTCTGCCATTAAAATAGCAGTATGACCTTGGAAAAGTCATTTAACCTCTGGATGCAGTCTTCTCATCTGCAAAATGGGGGGACAGGAACTAGATTATCTCTAAAGCTTCTTTTAGTTCCAAAATTTTATGATTCTGTGATTCCCTTTTCCCACTTCTGCCTCTCCCCTAGCTATGTTCCCTGTGTCCAGGCACAGAAAGCAGAGTATGCAGAGAAGGGTTGGATAGCTACCCAAGGAACTGAGGAGAGAAAGGAAATGCTCCAGTTCCCCTCTCCCCCCATCCCCACTTCCAGATTCACATTCTATCTCATTTCTTGGAATCTTAGCAAGAAATCAATGCATAGGGTATAAAAATCAGGTGGTGAGTCAGGCAGATGAATAGAGAGCTAGCACCCCCTGTGTTTACCCTTAGCCTTTTAATCATATATTTCAGGGTAGTAGAGGAGTTATCATGGGTCTAGGTTGGGAGGGGATACGAAGGTGGAAGCCTAGCCTCTAACTGGTAATTCTCAGTCCTGGGTCCTTCATGCCCTCCCTCTCTAACTTGCCAGGCCAGGGTGATTTCAATAAAGGCATTTCTGAGAAAGATGCATCTGACCCCAAACCATAAGATGTAATTTGGAAAGAATGTAGAAGAGGAATATCAATATCAAGACCAAACTGAAGGAAGGGAAGAGTAGGAAATCCAGAGATGTGGAGGGGGTAGAAAATCCAATATGATTTAGAAGTAAAGAATCTTAAAAGGAGAAAGGGGACTTAGGGGGGTCTATTCAGCTGGTCTGGGAGTAAAAGGCTAGACTGGGGCTGGGTTGGGAGATATAAGGGGTCATCCATAACTTATCTTGATGGAAAGAGCCTGAGCCCCCCTCCCATTACTCCCATACTCCAAAAGTCATACATTCCAACTAAAAATGTAAAAACCAAACAAACTGATTGGCATCACACTTCAGGATTCCTATTTGGCCCTAAGAAATCAATCTGAAACACCCCTCCCCTTCTCCTTTATTCTGATGGTCTTCTCGGAGTTCAGTCCAGCCCCCTGTAACTAAAACCCCCTCCCTCCCAATTCTGTCTCCATCATGCTCAGAGTGCCAGTTACCAAATATATGGTTTATCTTCCTCCTTGCCCCCATACCCCCATAAGGTCCTGATCTCTCTCCCCTTTTCCCTTAATTCCCTTCACTGGAGTGAGGGGCCAAGGGTATAGGACCTTACCCCATTCTTCCTCTTCCCTTAGGAAAGGCTCCCTAACAGCTTCCCTTGCTCAGGGATATCGGGGCACTTTTCTGGGTGGGAGGTGGGGGTGGGGTGCCGAGCCAGGGCAGTGGAGGAAGCAGGTGGTTCCGCAGTAAGGCCGGGTGTGTGTGGGGGATGGCTCCAGCAGCTGCAGTGTGCCGCAGTGTCTATGTATGTGTGTGTGTGTGTGTGTGTGTGTGTGTGTGTGTCTGTGTGTGTTCAGCTCCTCCTCTCTCTCCTCCCCCCTCCCCCCCACACCATGACAAGTCATTTTCTTGGCTGTCTCTGCAAGGCGGGTGGGGTGAGGGGTAGGAGTGTGTGGGAGAAGCAGGAACAGAGTGTGCCCCTCAAAGCACGGACCCTTACTTTGGGAATGAAAAGCAAAGATGAGGAGGGGGCTGCAAGGACACCACAGGAAAGGATTGGCCTGGAAACCTCAAAGGCTCAGGCTGGGAGAGTAAGGATGGCTGATGGTGAGGGTGAAGCTCCCAATCTCAGCCATGGTTCCAGCCAGTCAAGGGGCAGGGCCTCAGGGGGTGCAAGTGATAGGGGTTTCTAGATGCCTGGGACTGACATTCACTGACAGGAAAGGATAACGGCTGCAAACTAGCCTGTCCTGGAGGACGCTCCTGCCACGTTTCAATGACCCCATCCCCCAGTTACCCCCCAATACCCCCACAGTATTCCCTCCCATCAGATGCCCATTGCAGTGTCATTTCTATTCCCTCCTTGCCCCCCCCCCCCCATCTCCCCAAGCAGCTGGGAAATCTGGCAGCTGAGGCTCAGGGACCCTCCCACTAAGGCATATTCTCCATACCAGCCTTGGCCCCCCCACCCCTCAAAAATCCCCTCCCTTTACACCAAAGATTCTGCCCTCCATGTCTGTGTCATCCCAGGCTGCTAAGGGATGGGGTGGGGGGAGGGGGAGGCGCAGGGAGTGAGGGTCCTGGCTTAGATATTAGGATCATCATGCAACATCCTCAGCCTCAGAGCCCTACAGCTCCACCCGGTCTATATCAGGACTGTCACAGACACAAACTGGGCTGGTCCCTGCCCCAGTCCTGGTCCTCCCTGGCCTCCCGCCCTTGCATTCCTCCTTCTTCTGACCATCCTTGGGCCTGTCTGCTACCCCACCCCTAGGCTCCAGAGTCCCAAATTATTTATCCCCACCTTGTCCCCCCTCGCCCACTCCCCAGCTCCTCTTTTGCCTTTCCTCCTGTGCCCACCGTTCCCCCATCCTTAGCCTTCCCCTCCCCTCCCCTCCTCCAGTCCAGCTCCTACCCTGGGGTGTGGGAGGGGGGCCCTCATGGAGGCGGGTGGCTTCGGCCCCAACCAGCAGCGATAGGGAAGAGTCTGCAGCACTTTGGGGGGGGAGGGCTTGGCTGGTTGGGGGGAGGTAGGCGGGATCAGGGCGGGGATGGGGGGCTGGATCCATGACGAGGCACTAGAGTCTTAACTCTTTCCTCACCCTCACTATATTCCACTCACTTCACTTCGGGAAGATACTGAGGGAAAGGAATCTGGGGGGGAGACTAGGGACCATAAAGAAGCAGGAGAAAACAACCTCTCCCCTCACCCCCAGCTCTGCCAGCATGGGATTCTCTCCAACTCTGTCAATTAAGACATTTACTGAACTTTAATATGCACAGAATTTTCTGCTAAGCATGGGGTGGGGGGGGGCCATACAAAGAAGCAGGAGATGACTATCTCTTCCCCCACCATCTGCTCTACCCTTGGTAGGTTCAAGGGAGCACTCCCCACGTCCCAGAAGGAGCAAGAGACAAAGAGGCTGGAGGGGAGGGAGGCCGAGAAGGATGGAGAGGAAGAGGGACAGAGCCAAGGGAACACTGGGAAGTGGGGAGGCAGTGAGAGGGAATCAAGCACATAACTTCATGAAGCTTCATCTAGTCCTGAACCTGTAGCTGAACTAAGGAGCGAAGGGAAATAAGGCCCATCTTAAAGCAGGGGCTTAAGGTTTTTCATTTGATGGGGCATAGGGACACCCTGTGAAGTCTGAGACAAGTGTGGCCGAGGAAATGTTCTGCAGTCCCTCCGGATTCATCATTCTCCAGTTACTGGGTGTGAAGAAAGGAACCTCTGATCTGATCTGCTGCTGTGCCCTCTCTGAGAATTCCTGGGGAAGCCAAACCCAAATCAATTTTTTTTTTTTTTTTTTTTTTTTTGCGCAGGGGGTCTGTCTGGACCTGTGATTTAATCACAAAGTCATGGACCTAGAGCTGGAAGAGACCTCAGAGGTCACCTAGTAAAATCTCCTCATTTTACAAATGGGGAAACTGAGGCCCAGGGAGCTTAACTAACTTGCCCAAGATCACAAAAGTAGAATTCTTAGTCTGGAAACTCTCTTCACTAATGGAGATCCACCACTCATCTGCAACAATAGCCTTAGAGAGTTGCCTGAGAGCACTGAGAGGTTAGGTGATTTGCCCAGCACCTACCAAGAGGAGAGATTTGAACCTGAGACACCCTAACTTCATATCAGCTCTCTACCCACTCCCCTTCTCAAACTTCTTTTACCTTAAGTCGATGATTCACATAAGTTACGCATTAAGATGTATTCTTTCCATCCACTTAAAAATGACACAAGTTTTCTGATGTTAATGGAGGGTGGGGTTGGATCACTCCCTGTCTTCCTCCCTCTAGGTCTTTCTCTGAATTCTTGGTGTCTTGGTCGCTAAACTACCCTCCTCTAGTC